TTTCTTTGAACATGGCTCACTCCATTTTCTTTGCACAAGAATCCATGTGGTAAATCCCTCTTCGATAGTACTAGAAGAAGTTATTTCTTAAGGATGCAATAATAAAAAACATAATGGTTCATATTTCCTTCCTTTCTTTGGCTTCCATATAGCTCGGTATCTCTAGTTGCAGTTTCATTTGTTTTTTAATTTGTTTTTCCTTCCATCTTAATTTTTTTTTAAAAAATTCTGTTTTCATATTCTTGCTTTATATGTATCTTTTTATTGTAATTTCTTCTGAATCATTTTTGGAGAGAGGCAAGTTATTAGATAAAAATATACGGACTCTCATGTAATTTGCATTCACAGAATTCAGTGACTTTGAGTCATAGGTTTAGGACTTGCATGTTCAGTTGATGTTATGTACAGAGATATGTTGTTTTTAAGAATTTTAGCGATCTCTGATGACATTTTATAAATACTTTTTGTGAAGTCTGTGGGACCTTTGAAGAGGTAGGGGCTTCTGCCACATCACATATCTTCTAACTTTAGGCTAGTCTTTTGGGATCACTTTTAATCACTTTAATCCCAAGGCCTCCAACAGCTATTTGGATATCATATCAGCCCCACCAATGCTTGAGGTTTAGGTTATGAAAAATAATCAAAGCTATTTTTTAAGCCTTTAAATGAAAGTAGCACAATGGAACATATTGTACATTATTCTGATTTTATTTCACAAAATAAAATGTTATCATATCTAAGTAGCTCTTAGATGGCTAGAAATGAGTAGTTATGAGAAAGGCTGGCAGGTCTATTAAGGACGGGCTGAATGAAAGCTGTGTGTACTTTACTGCCTGATTTAATGGAACAAAATGTCTCCTGGGCAGAAGAGGCAGGGACTGACATCAGGACAGTCATATTTAGGCAAGGAGCAAATCTCAGATTCATAGACTAGGACAATCAGTATCAGATACCTAATAAAGGAAAAGAAAAAGGATTTCTTAGAATAATAAAATGGTATAGTTATATTACTCAAATGGTAATTATTACTTACATCAAAATAAGGATAGCTTTTAAAATGGGCTTCTGTCTCAGAGCAGATGTTTTCAAGGAAACGTCATCCTTCAGTACTTCCAATAAAATGGAGACTCTAAGCATTTATTCAGGTCACTTGCCATATGTCCCCCTGATCATAAGCTCTTTGGGTGGTGAACTGATGTGACCTGGCTTACTGGCAGCTATTAGTCTTAGTCCTGCTGTGACTAGGCTTCGGACAGACTCTTTATACACCATTTGGGGGTTAGAAGCTAGTGAATACGGGAGCTAGGCAACTTATTGCTGAACAATATAAACATACATGTTAATGTATGTGTGTGTATGTGACATTGCCTTCTTTGGTACATGCTTACTCTTATAGATGTAATTTGTCTCTATTCATATCCTCATAGTATGATGTAGTGTTTATTTTTAATATCTAATTTTTAAAATTGCTGTTCATAGGTTAGGAATGTATCGTGAAGCAGAAAAACAGTTTAAGTCAGCCCTGAAGCAGCAGGAAATGGTAGATACATTGCTCTACTTGGCAAAAGTAAGTAAATCTTTTAAATTTAAGTGAAATCTGTCTTCTCAGAATAAATGTTTCAATTCTGGCCATTGCATGGGGAGAGTTAACAGTTTCTTCAGGAATATTTGACAAGTTACTATGTTGAGATTTAACTTCTTTTTCTTTATAGCAAAGGAAAAAGTGAGAACATATGCAGGGTCTCAGAAAAATTGAT